CCACTTTCTCAGCGGTTTTGGGCTGCTCTCGGCAAGCGCAGCAAAACCCCATTCTCAGAAAAAAAAAATAAAAAATTTCGGGACACTTTTCAGGCTGCCCGATTTTGCCGGGCGGGCCCCCCTCAGTCCGCTTGGCCCGGGCCGTCTGGCCCGGGCGGCGGCCTAGCCCAGATATATACATATTTATGCCTTGAGTATCCGTATGGTCTACTGCGACCGTGCGTAAGGTTTAAACATGTTATGCCTTTGAAAAAAAAAAAAAACACTTTTATCTTTTGTTTTTTTAAGTTTTTATATAGTTGGACGTTGGAGTCCGTGACAGCTGTCAAAGTCAAATCCCTTGATCTCTCTCCATGGCCTGGATGATGGAGTTTGCCTCAAAGGCCTCGAGAGACGACTACCACCAGGTATGAACCTATGTACCACCCACTCTCTGCAGTGCATGGTGCAGAAGAGGGTCTAGCGTCGGGAGTTTAACCTCTCAAGGCGTGTGTCGGCCGACACTTGAGTAACGAACGCAACCCTCGAGACTATCGAGGACCTCGTGACTATGGATACTACATAGTACATCATCATTGCGACTGCTTGCAAAGACTTTCATGGCGGACACATGGCGGGTTAGCGGAAAAACCCTACCCACCGGTTCGTTTCACTGGCAATGTGTTCCCTAGTGCTTACAACCATTATACTACTCCATATGCATATATGAATATTTGAATTGGTTCATAAGGTTCCCGTCCACTACTCATCCGATGTTCAAAATTACAATGATTTTTTTAGTATAACATGTGTGCTTGTGGGGAGTAATAGAGCGAGGCCCTAAGGCCCGTTTCGCGACGACATCAACGCTATCTTACTCATAAGAAAAAGAGCCAGACGTTTCATCAGATGCTACATTAGCAACACAGATGAGCAACGAGTATATAGAAACACACCCACCTGCACCCACGAGGCATTGGGTCATGTGTGAGTCTTGATAATCTTGCATGGGTGGGACGAGGGTGGGTCTAGTAGAACCCGCCTGGGTGGGTGAGGGGCGTGTCAATATTAGGTGTGGGTCACCCGAATGGATGGGTGACAAGCGGATGACAGATAGGTCTGGGTGACCCGACCCACAAACCCAGGTCAACCCAGAAGACCCCCACCCCCCCAACATATTTTCTTGTTGCAGTCTGCCTGTGGACTTCAAAAGTTGGAGGCCTAGGAAACGGAAAGGCTCCACCCTAGGGTCCCCTGGGGAAAAAAAGTTCTATCGAAGAAAAGAAAAAAGGTCGTGATAGTGGCAAATCAGAATTTAGGATTTTCGAAAAAATGTGTTGCTCTCTACAGGTGGCAGTTGGACCACAGTCCAATAACGGGATGTTTTTTCCTAGTAAAACAACAGAGATCGAACCTAACCACAACAGGTGGCAAAACTCGCTCCCCAATTTCAAACTTATGAAGTGCTTCGAATTTTCGCATTGTCATCCGATGACGCCACATAGTGAAGATGCTTTTAAGTTATGCACCGTCATCCAAGGAAATAATGTCGCTTTGGTGTGAGTAAATGTTCAAAGGGACTGACACAACGGGAAACGGGCGGATGTGGGTGAAAAATAATTACGTTATCGGGGCAAATACCCTGACAAGGGTATTTGCCGGAGTTTTTCAACGTCGGACGCTGTCCGACTCTTTCGTTGAATTGAAGCACTTGATGAGACTGGCGTTTGCCAAAAAATTATGATTCAGACCTGACCTATGACTGAGAGATTAAAAGTTTTCGAGCTTTAGTCCGGACGCTTGTGGCGTCCGAATGTGACGATAGTAGTTGGCAGTGCTCCGCTCTTGTCGAAGCCGCAGAGGTGTGCGGGCATGGAAGTGGTAGAGCTAAACCTATTCTACCTAAAAAAATGTCGCGCGGTTGCTAAGCCGTGCCATTCAGGGCCTGAGTAGGTTAAAAAGATGGATGCGCCGGGTATGGGGCCATGGCGCAATGGGAATAGGGAGCCCATTTTCTTCTTGGGCCACGGGATTTGACTTTGCGCCAAGGCTCGACGCCGGACTCTCAGCTGAAGGTGGCTTATCGGGCCTACCGGGATAAACCTCAGCTGGTGAGATGGCGGGGTGCCGGCTTTGAAGGGGTGGGGAAGGGTTAAGCCTGCCTATACGTGAAAGTGATGGCCTACTGGGCCGCAACTCGTCATATAGAAGGGTTGCAGGCATGGTTCCTGTGATAGGAGCTAGCCCAGTAGGTTATCGTGCAGGAGTCTCACCCAGCGGATACCGGGATCGAACTGCACTCACCGTCGGGCTAGCTCCTTTTGGAGCTGCCTTTTCTGAAGGAGCGCGGTCAATTTCGACCGCTCGTTCTGGAAGATCGCGCAGCCTAGATCGGTCGCGCAAGTGGGCATGATCCCTTCGTAAAGATGACACGCATAAATCGAAAAAAAAAGTAAAAAAATTCAAAGTCCGTTGGGACTCGAAACCCAAGTATGTATTTCAACAGTTCGTGGGTGAGCTCACGAACGTGACAGAACCGTTGGCACAAACCAACATGAATTAGAGAAAGAAAAAAAAAAACTAAAACTAAACCAAAGTCGAAGTTCGTAAGGCGCCACGTAGCGCTATGACAAGTGACTGGGGTATTTCAATCCCCAGTGCACTAGACAGTCGCCCGTGAAAACGAGCGACCATTTTTTTCTTCTGCTGCAAGGAAAGTTTCTTTTTTTTCTTTTTCTTTCGATTTTCTTTTTTTTTGGTGTTTTTTAGATTTTCTTTAGATTTCTTATTTTAGATTCACCTTAGATTTTTCTTATTTAAATTTGTTTTTAGATTCTTTAGTCTCCTTTGTTTTCCTCCTCCCCGTTCTGCTCGTGAATTCCCTGAACGCGCCCATTCGTTTTGACGAACGGGCTAGACAGACGTCTGCAGAACTAGCAGATCGAATGAATCTACTGCTAAAACATGGAAACATACCTACTACTACTACTACTACTACTACTACTACTACTACTACTATGAGGGACCAACGAACGCGACAGCCAGAGGTAAGTCCCCAACCGTAAAGCTGGCCTTTCCCCTCCCTCGTGGCATGTTACAATGGTCGCCCGTTCATTTTGAACCGGCAACTGTTGTCTGAAGAGGTGCCGAACTTAGCACCTGGATTGAGCCAGGTTCAGGCGCACAGGGCTAAGGAAAGAAACCCCTTTGAGCTTGACTCTAGTTCGAATCTGCGAAGTGACTGTGGGGCTGGCCGTTTGAGTTGTCTGTGCACAGAGAAACGAGGGGGAAGGTAGGAGAACAAGAAAAAATATAATAATAACTAACGGCCACATAAGTGGCCGTAGGTTAATAAGGGGAGATACAGGAGGTACAAAGAAGAAGAAGAAGGGAGGAAAAGGAGAGAAAAATGTAACGACCGCGAATGTGGCCGTGGAACAGGTGCAGCCCCCAAAAACTTCTAGGAGCTGATGGGACTGCGCCTGTTCGTTTTGAACAGGCAGTTGTAAATGGTTGTATACAGACACTTCGAGGTTGCTCCTGGCCGAGGGTGGCGGCCGGGTGTATTGCCAAAGCTTGGGGCTTGATGTTCCTAGTGGAACATCAAGAATCCCAGCCCTCAATCGAAGTTTAGATCGTGGGTCAGGCTCAGCCCCGTTTTTTTGGCTGAGCCTCAAGCGGATGGCCACCACTCCAGCTCAACTATAAAAGTTGGGCTGGCCAGCAACATCCTCACTCAGTTGAGGTGCTGCCCACATTCTGACTGAATGTGGAGAGGAGAGCAGCATTATGCTGCTGAAGTGTGGAGAGGCAGTGAGTGAGAGGTGAAGTAGAGTGGAGGACTGCATTGAGCGTGAAAGTGGAAGCTGCCATAGCCACCACTTCATTTGGTGAAGTGCAGGGAAGGTGCTGCCTGCGCAGCACGACGGCAATAGTTTTTGGCAAGCAGTGCAGGGGAAACTCTGCCCGTTTCGCACGGCGGTAGCAGTTTTGGCAAGCAGTGCAGGGGAAAATCTGCCTGTTTTGTGCGGCGACAACAATTTTTTTGTTGACATACTGCG